CTGAGAGGTGAACACAAAGGCTGCTACACCATTTCATACGTTAAGGCAACTTGCGCATATCGGTTGTCTTGCATATCAATTGGTAGCATCTTATAGTTCAGTTAAGGTTAATGTGAGAATTTTGTATAAAAGCTGTAGAAGTATATACTGTGCCAAAATATTCCTGACTTCAATATTTACTACCATGTGGAATTTGATTTGAGAAACCTGTGTTCCAATCACAACAACCCAATAAAACAATGAGTTTGCTCCTCCAGAAATGCCCCTACCTCCTGCAATGCGTATACTAACAAAAGCAATGCTTTGGGGCATGTTACACCCATTTTGGGATCAAACTACCCTCCACATACGCTTGCTTCTCATCCCTATAAGCTACTACAGCAATATGCACGAAAATGTCACTCTTGCTCCACCATCTAGCAGGCTATGTTCATCAGAAGAAATGGAGATGGTGGTAGAAGGAGGGATTTTGTTAAATTATACTATAGGCAAGGAAACAGATATAGTAGAGTTTATTAAAGGTTCAAACGGGGTTTGGGGTTTTATTGTTAGCACCATTATTCCACATAACACGAAAGCCATCTTGTATTTTTCGGAAGACACCTTTATTTGCTGTACTACTGACGTCATGGCAGCGTTTTCGCTACCGAGGGAAAGCGTGCACGATGTTTGCAATGCTCTATTCGAAGCTACAGGTAAACCCAGGGACATCCTCAAAGACCTGTGCGAACCGCATAACCACGTATCCAACAATAAAATGAAAAATTTTCGAGACCTCCTGAGTAAGCATGGTGATATATTCGAATTACAAGGGTCTAAGCAGGAAGCACCAAACGTTGTCGTAATTATATTCGAGTCCGGCGAAGCTAGATTGGTTTTACAGCCGCTCGGATACCTGCCACACATTGCTGGAAGAGGTGTACCATCTGGTGAAAGAAATGACCAAAGACAAATTCACAGAGCCACCACAGGCCCCATGGATCGTACCAATTCCTCTAGTAAAAGGACAGAAATCGGCGGTTGTGCGGCTATCAAACTGCCTACATTGGTCAGCTTGGTTCTTTATTCTAGAATTTAAATCAGTATACTGATTAGTGGTAATGGCCAAAGCTGACAAACAGATGAATACTTTCAACTCGTTGATCTTCTAAACTAATAAATTGCCGTATAAATCATCGGAAGAGGCACATTAAGCATCTTCGTTAG